CACACACTCTCACACACACACACACACTCACAGACACACACACACACAGACACCCACACACACACACACACACACACACACACACACTCACACTCACAGACAGAGACACACACACACACACACACAGACACTCACAGACACTCAGACACACACACTCAGACACACACACACACAGACACACAAATACACACGTGCATTTGTCCTTCAGTGACTTTATGGTGCCTCATCATTCTGCTGGCTGAAATGTGGGGAATGTTAAAAATGTGCTGCTTCTTTCACCATCATTTACCCTCATCGCTCTGCGCTCCTCACTGTCATATTTGTTTATTTCATTTCTCGATCCTGGAGTTACTCCTCTCTTTCCATTGCTCTTTCTCAGGCATTATCTCAGCCAGACTGAACTTTCTCCTCCTGGAGGTGTTTGAGTGAATTTCAGCACCATTACCTGATAGGCTTGCCGCGATAGACGGTGCTGACGGTGATACCGGTGTTAAGCCGCAACACCGGTTACGTCACTTGCCCACCGCGTCACCGACCTCCACCGTCGATTAGATTTTTTATAGAAATAAAAATAATTTAGTTCAGTAAAAGAACAGACACTACAATTAAAAACTGAATGCGGCTCCTCAATGTAGCGTGCCGAACGACAGTTGCATCACAGATCAGATTTCATTTCTCCAGTGAGAAGAGTGAGGCGAGACAGACGAGAAGAGTGAGGCGAGACTGGCGAGAAGAGTGAGGCGAGACAGACGAGAAGAGTGAGGCGAGACAGACGAGAAGAGTGAGGCGAGACAGACGAGAAGAGTGAGGCGAGACAGACGAGAAGAGTGAGGCGAGACTGGCGAGAAGAGTGAGGCGAGACAGACGAGAAGAGTGAGGCGAGACCGACGAGACAATCGCGGAGGATTTAGTTTCGAAACGAGATGCAAAAGTGCCTATTTGGCAATATTTGGGATTTTGAAAAACCTGTTGACTTTTATCTAAGGTGATTTGGAAGTTTTTTTAAACATTCGTTTCTTATTTAATTGGTTCCACATTGTTTGCTGATTTTTACTTTATTTAAACTTTGTGTCATTTATTTATTTTATTTGACATCAAGGTATATGCCGTGCCTCCAAGCTTTCTTACTCGTTTTGCTAGTAAACGTTCTACTTATTTATTTGGTTATATATTATACATGGAAATGTGTGTGAATAGAGTATTAGTGTAAGCGAGATTAGCGGCAACCACGCTGGCGATGCTAGCGGGCTATATGCTAATAGCGGACTCGGAAGTCAAAAATAGAACTAGTGCTAACAAAGCGCTCTGATTGTTTTTGTTGTAGAATACGATAGGGGATATATTCACACGTTATAAAACTGAAAAAGGATGGTGTATAAAATTGATTTTAAGATAAAAATTAGACGACAAAGAATTAACTTGACGGAGCTCAAACTCAAACCACACGGCAGTGAGGAGAGTGAGCCGAGCTGACGAGAAGAGTGAGGCGAGACTGACGAGAAGAGTGAGGCGAGACTGACGAGAAGAGTGAGGCGAGACTGACGAGAAGAGTGAGGCGAGACTGACGAGAAGAGTGAGGCGAGACTGACGAGAAGAGTGAGGCGAGACTGACGAGAAGAGTGAGGCGAGACTGACGAGAAGAGTGAGGCGAGACTGACGAGAAGAGTGAGGCGAGACTGACGAGAAGAGTGAGGCGAGACTGACGAGAAGAGTGAGGCGAGACTGACGAGAAGAGTGAGGCGAGACTGACGAGAAGAGTGAGGCGAGACTGACGAGAAGAGTGAGGCGAGACTGACGAGAAGAGTGAGGCGAGACTGACGAGAAGAGTGAGGCGAGACTGACGAGAAGAGTGAGGCGAGACTGACGAGAAGAGTGAGGCGAGACTGACGAGAAGAGTGAGGCGAGACTGACGAGAAGAGTGAGGCGAGACTGACGAGAAGAGTGAGGCGAGACTGACGAGAAGAGTGAGGCGAGACTGACGAGAAGAGTGAGGCGAGACTGACGAGAAGAGTGAGGCGAGACTGACGAGAAGAGTGAGGCGAGACTGACGAGAAGAGTGAGGCGAGACTGACGAGAAGAGTGAGGCGAGACTGACGAGAAGAGTGAGGCGAGACTGACGAGAAGAGTGAGGCGAGACTGACGAGAAGAGTGAGGCGAGACTGACGAGAAGAGTGAGGCGAGACTGACGAGAAGAGTGAGGCGAGACTGACGAGAAGAGTGAGGCGAGACTGACGAGAAGAGTGAGGCGAGACTGACGAGAAGAGTGAGGCGAGACTGACGAGAAGAGTGAGGCGAGACTGACGAGAAGAGTGAGGCGAGACTGACGAGAAGAGTGAGGCGAGACTGACGAGAAGAGTGAGGCGAGACTGACGAGAAGAGTGAGGCGAGACTGACGAGAAGAGTGAGGCGAGACTGACGAGAAGAGTGAGGCGAGACTGACGAGAAGAGTGAGGCGAGACTGACGAGAAGAGTGAGGCGAGACTGACGAGAAGAGTGAGGCGAGACTGACGAGAAGAGTGAGGCGAGACTGACGAGAAGAGTGAGGCGAGACTGACGAGAAGAGTGAGGCGAGACTGACGAGAAGAGTGAGGCGAGACTGACGAGAAGAGTGAGGCGAGACTGACGAGAAGAGTGAGGCGAGACTGACGAGAAGAGTGAGGCGAGACTGACGAGAAGAGTGAGGCGAGACTGACGAGAAGAGTGAGGCGAGACAGACGAGAAGAGTGAGGCGAGACAGACGAGACGATCGCGGAGGATTTAGTTTCGAAACGAGATGCAAAAGTGCCTATTTGGCAATATTTGGGATTTTGAAAAGCCTGTTGACTTTTATCTAAGGTGATTTGGAAGTTTTTTTAAACATTCGTTTCTTATTTAATTGGTTTCACATTGTTTGCTGATTTTTACTTTATTTAAACTTTGTGTCATTTATTTATTTTATTTGACATCAAGGTGTATGCTGTGCCTCCAAACTCGTTTTGCTAATAAACGTTCTACGTTTCTTATTTATTTGGTTATATATTATACATGTTTACTTATTTCCAGTTTTGTATACCTATTTAAACTTTATGTGAGTTATTTGTTATTTTATATTAGGCATAGCCTGCCCTATAGCATGGTGTATTTTTATTTGTTTTGTTAATAAAAGTTCTATGTTTTATATATACGCTAGTGAGTTTGACGTTGTATTTTGTTGTTGCATTCAAGCAATTGATGCCGAACTGCCGCTAATTCGAAAGTGAAAGTAAAATGCGCGCGGCGCGTTTAAGCTATTTAAAAGCGAAGGAAAGCGAGGAAAAGAGGGAACGCCCCCGCGGTGATACCGGTATTACCGGTGTTGTCACACGTCGATTAACTGGTGGGAAAAATTCCTCACCGTCACAACCCTATTACCTGACTGTTATAATAGTTTCTAAGCTTTACTCTCATCCAACATGAACATCTAGTACATTAAGAGAATAGAACAGGCACCTAAATGTGTTGCGTTTTCAGCAATGGGAAAGACTTGTACAAACAAATGTAAAGAGATCCAGTGTGATCGTATTGTCCTCCTCTGACCTGCTTCTGTCTGGCTCTGTTTTGATAACAATCCCATGTGGATTATTTATAAGCAGCTGTTATTAAATGAGTAAAGAAACCTCATATAATAATTTGGTTGAGGTTATTTAGGAGCCACAGAGGAAATAATACGATGAGCTGGCCGTCAGTCTAGTTTCACAGCTAATTAAAGCAACATTTGAAATTAAATGCAAAACTTCCCGGCTATCTTCTTTCAGCTGTGAGTGGCAGACTCACTATATAGTAGTCTTCTTAAAGGGATAGTTCACCCAGAAATGAAAATGACCCCATGATTTACACACCCTCAAGCCATGCTAGGTGTATATGACTTTCTTCTTTCAGACGAATCCAATCAAGAGTTATATAAAAAAAATGTCGTGGCTCTTCATCTGAAAGAAGAAAGTCATATACACCTAGGACGGCATGAGGGTGTGTAAATCATGGGGTCATTTTCATTTTTGGGTGAACTAACCATTTAAGCTATAAACAATATCTTTAAGTGACCAAGAAACTACAGTGTTTTAACTATAACTTTGATTATATATTTAGTATTTAAATTCTTAAAATGAAATGGAAATAAAATAGAAAAAAATGCATATCTTATGATTATTATTGGCCGTATCTTTCATGTTTAACAGTGGCAATACAGTCTATATTGTGCCATAAGTGACAGATAAAACGTGTTGAAATAAGCAGGGCTGAATTGAAGAATGGCCTTGACATTTTCATCTGCTTTGTATACAGTATTTTGCTTTTAAGACTGTTTTACCTGTGTGCTTTCCCTCGTGTGCACCAGCAGAACTCTTGCCTTTGAATGTTTTCCTTCGGAGACGTGAGGTCTGTGTATTTGTGCTTTCATGTTTTGTGTTGTATCTCAGTTTGACATCTTTTCCTGTGAACAAAGATTGGGAATCACGGGACTCTGAATTCCAGTGTGGAAGCTGTTTTTGACTCTGAAGCTTTCAACTTTGCTACAGTATATGAACTTTGCAATTATTATTTTATGTAGACTATAAATGAAGCTCTGAATATGAACAAAAATGGATTAGTGCTATATTTCCTAAATACATACTATTATTTCAGCAGTTTTAGTTTGTTTTTACGATGCATAAGACACGCAGCTTTCAGGTGCAGAGTTCCAGACTGAGGGTCCATTGCACCGGTTTATCTGTTGACCTGCAGTATAAAGAGAGTCAGGAGACGTGAGTTGAGCAGGAAGGGTGGGAGGTGGGGAGGAAGAGAGTGGGAGTGGTCAGGAAGAAGGGGGAGTGGTCAGTGTGATTGTGTGTACGGTAGCCAGAGCTCAGTGACTGAGTTCTGTGTTTTATGTGCCATACACGCGTGTGGATTGAGAGCTGCAGACAGGAAATCCATAAGACGGTAAATTACTTTCATAAAGAGTTTTAACATGTTGTTATTGTAAATATGTGCTGATGCTACACTGATAAAAATAGCAACCTAAAAATGGGAACATCTAAATTAACTTCATAAAAAAAATGAACCATTACTGAATCAACCTAATTACATGAATACATGTATATATATATATATGTGTGTGTGTATAAAGAAATATTGTGAAATATTTTCACAATTTAAAATAACATTAAAATAATATTCTATAATCTAATAATCTTAATATTTTTTTTAAATGTATTTATTTTTTTGCAGTGATCAAAGCTGAATTTTCAGCATCATTACTCCAGTCTTCCATGTCACATGATCCTTTATAAAGCGGTTGCACTGCTACATATTTTTGTGGAAACTGATACATTTTTTTCTGTTAAAAAAAATATATATATTTGAAATACAAGTCTTTTTAAACATAAATGTCTTAACTGTCAAATGAATGCATCTTTACTGAATAAAAGGATTTCAAATTCTTACAGACCCTAAACTTTCGAACCATAGTTTGTGTGTACGTGTAATAAAAAAACGTAGAAAACAAAATGTCATATTACTAAAGTGTTCAAAATAGATTAAAAATTCAAAATGAAATTTTCCCTTGAATTGTTTGAGACAAAGGATAATTGACCTGTAGATTGCCAGTAAAGCTGACAGCCTTTGATGTATATTAATATGGTGTATGGTATGGTCTCTTCAGCTCATGTGCGCGCGCGCGCGTGTGTGTGTGTGTTTTTTTGTGTTGGAGCCAAAATGACAGGCCCCGCTACTGTATTTCACTCATTGTGTGTGTGTGTGTGTGTGTGTGTGTGTGTGAGAGAACCGTGATGCAGCGCTGTGAAGTGAGC